ACTACTAACCAACCCGGTGTACTTTAACAAGTGTAGACAGAGGGAGGTATATTTCTCTAAGTCATTAGTACTACAGTCCACTCAAAACAAAAGAAATTGCGGAGGTGATAGTGTGTGCTCTCACAAGCTCATTAATTTCAAATGAGAGAACAGTGTTTTACCACATTTCCAAACATTTAAAGATTTGTGAAAAATACTCCGCTGCGCGTCTTATTTGCAAGCTCTCGATGTTCCACTTCACGATTTCAAATTGTACCGAATAAAATACTGACTATCACGGTATTTTCTGAAATCCAGGCAACAGATACCGATAACTTTTATTTCCTTTTAAGGATGGCTCATAAATCTTTTGAGGCTGGATATAGACAGTACTTCGGTGATATCCTAGACAACGTATCGCGAGCAACAACAGAAGAAGAAATTAAAGAGGTTTATGCCAACTTTGCGAGCAGCTATGATGAGGTAAACTATAGTTATAAAACTTGCTGGGACTAAACCAGCTGTCAAATGTGTCATTCATGATAAATTATGGGTGTTGCCGATACTTCAACTCAACAACATTTGTAGCTTTTTGACCATGATGTTATTCCACAAGTCCAGCCAGTTTTACAAAGCGAAAATTCTACATGACCAGAAACTATGTTCGTACATACGGGTTTAAAAGTGTTTTTTACTAATAATTCATATAAAGTCCAGATAATGTCAAATGCGACTAAAGATATTGTTATACATTGAAATCACTATCTCTTTTCTGATTGGCCGAAAGCGTTCAGTAAATTTTCGAAAACAGCGCCTATGACGTCATCTAGCTGCAGATTATGCAATAATCATGTCATGTATGCCCGCAGTGCATGATTTCTAAGGGTAATCATGTTAAGTTTGCGCGCTTTGTGTTGCTTGCCGTCAGTAAAGAAGCAAAAACAAGACTCCCATTTTCTTTTTTCTTTCAATGTATAATAAAACAATTATTAGATTCGGTTTTTGTGATATGCAGAATAATCAAGGTCTTGGTAAGGGTTATCAGCCTCAGCCTTCGGCTTCGGCTAATAACTCCTACCTCGAGTTTGAATATTCTGGATATCACAAAAACCTCATCCAGTAATTGTTTAGACAACTTCAGTTCTGCGGCAGTAACAGGAGGCTTTTCGCTTGACACAATGCTCCAAGCACCAAAGAATTATAACAGCTCCTAAACTATAACGCAAAATAGAGTTACAAGCTGCTACACTTCGGAAAACTGATTTTCTTCTCTTTCAGCGTCTCCATGCAGCTCAATGTGTTTGACATAAGTCAATGGCGGAATATCTGGATAATGCCATCAAACAGGTTCTAAGAGACAAACCAAAAGATGAAATCAAAATAATGGATGCTGGAGCAGGAACAGGAAATGTTGGAGTCGAACTTAGTAAACTCGGCTACACTAACCTGCATGCTCTAGATATTTCACAAGGAATGCTAGATGAAGCAAAGAAGAAAAATGTGTATAAGAAGGTCATCTGCGCCGCTTTAAACGATCAGCGGATTCCCGAGATTGAAACAGGAGAGTTTGACGCGTTGATTTGCTGTGGTACGCTGGTGCAGGGGCATGCGCACTCCAATGCTTTTGCGGAGATGATTAGGATGGTCAAAATTGGTATGTTTTCCTGGCTCAGATAAAGTGCAAAACAAAGTGAGGTCGTAACGAACCCAAC